CATTAAACTTAGCACTTAGAACTTATATACTGGTCTAAACCAGTATATAAACCACTCTAAATGGTTTATCGAGTCAGCATATTGCTCCCAACAATCCGGATCCTCATTTTACCAACCTCGGAAGGATGGAGGGCTGAGTCAACCTTGAGCCGATGAGAATCGAACTGCTGGCAATCAGCACAATTAGCCTGCAATATTGCATTCTAACCATTGTACCACAAATCCACATTGGCTGCCATATACAAAGAGTGATTTCATGGTGGCATGCTGTTTGTTTGTTTTTTAATAGGAGGCCAAAACTCTCCTGATTTCCTCTCCCATGCATAATATGGGTTTACACATCATTTTAAAAGCTTGTGACTCCTTCCTTCCTCAGTTAAAGTTTTTGCAATGGCAAAAATAATCTCCTTTTTATGGGTGTCATACCAAGGTCACACTAAGGTAAATGGTACTAATTCGTCCCCTCCTTCCAGCTGAGGATAGACTGATCATAGTATCAATCAACTTGTATTAGCTCTGATTTATTCAAACACTACATGGTATATTTTGGCCCGAGAATTGTGGCCTAAGTCAAATTGCACTGCTGAAATTACAACTCACAATAATAAAGAGTGTGTACCTCCAATTGTTTAATGCTTATCTGACCACAAGCAAGGCATTATTGGATGTGTGGTTCAAGGGTCTCCAAAATACCGCTTGAAAAATGTGGGGGCAGTGGCTCCCCAGGATACTGTATAACAATATTTTTCCTGCTGTTTTTATATGTACCTCTTATAAACACCACTTTACATATGGAACAAACCCTTAATCGAATACAGTTCTTTTACTACCATTGCAATCTATCAGCAGAATAAGAGGCTTTCTGTGTCTGCTGATGCTATACGCACATGTATGACGTGAAAGGTGTTGGTCCTACTAGCCTCAATAATGGTATGGCCACAGATTACCTCCTGGCTTGCAAATTGGTTAACTCTGCCTAGCGAGGGTGAGAACTGATGCTGTTATTTTTCACCAATGAAATATTTTTCACCCTCCAGCATCCAATTCATAAAGAAGCAGACATTGGTTATTTTCAGAATTGGGTTGTTATTTTTACCTGAATTTTCTTGATGATCTCAGCTACTGAAAAAAGGTTATTTTCTTTATATTCGTTCCTGAACAAAGAGTTTTGAACTTTCTGTATTTTTTATTTATTGCTCATTCTATTTCAAGGTTAATCTCTCCTCCTCCTCATAGCTAGTCTGTATTTGTCAGGCCTTCCTGGCCTTATCCAACTCTTCCTCCGTATGAATTTGAATTTTAGGGAAAAAAATATGGAGGGATGGAATAAAAACAAAACATTAGTTATGCTTGTTTTAAAGTTAACTTTATGTGTAACCACAGTGCTATACATTCTTTAATTTTTCTATTAATTTTATCATTATTTATATAGTTGTGCTAATGTACTGCCAAGAATTCAAAATACCTACAAAATGTGTAGATTTAAGGATGTGTATGCTTGTGTCTGCTCTTTCCTCAGTACAGAAAAGTAAGGTAACAATTAGGGTCTTTGTACTTCTCATACATTAAAGCATTTGATATATCGATATCACATTTTAAATAATGTTACTGCAGACAATGTTTTCACACTTTGAGTGATGCCTTTTCCTTCTTGTAATCATGCATCTTTATCCCTTATAAAGGGGTTTTCCTGTATCCTTCGTATTTCAGATCTCTATAGATAATGTGTGCATCCTTGACTTATCTTTGATCAATGTTTTATATAAGATCTATGTAATTCTGAGAGTCTAGATCTTGGCTTCTGGCTGCAAGAGACAAGTGATTCATTGTAACTTATTAGCTCTAGATAGAAGAAGAAAAAATTGGGAGGGATCTTCTGCAGTTCCTGATGATTTTGAGTTTTTCACCATGTTCTTTCATATTCTTTCATCATGTCTGTTTTGTTTCATTCCCTTTCTTCTAGCATTCACACACTTATATTTCATTTTGCCCTGAAATCTATTTCCAGTTTGGTCAGAGAATATGTGCATATTATTTTCCATGATTTGTTGCTGGCCTGTCCCACTGAAGAATTTAAAGAAAATATCTACCTGTTGCAGAACTTCACAGGGATTGTCCAATGGTAGATTTAAAAGAAAGTCTTGTTTTTAAATTGTCTCATTGGTGGTTCTGCTTGTCATAAGAAAAAAAAAGTTACAAAAATGGTGATTGGTTCGATTTAAAGCAGAGAACATTCTCGAATGCTTTAACTGCACTGGAGAGGGATAATATATTTCTTTTAGCTTTAATTAAGGTATAGGTAGTATAGCCTTTGCCCTCCAGAGATAACAGAATATGTTGCTTAGCAATGGAACCCTTTGTGGAAATTAGCATGAACTTCAAATGCACAGAACATCTCACATTAGGAATGGGTTTCAAAATAATGAATTCCTCTGAGAATGCTTATTAGCATCAGTGTAGAATCAACCTTCTAGGAGCAATACCAACAAGACATCTTTAGATTCTCTTTACCAATAAATTTACTATAATGCTTTCCATGCACAATGTCATATACCTGATTCATATGAAGGAAATGTGAAATTATTCATATACGTTAACAAGGTAATTTTAAAAAAGACTTAGAAATACAGGTACTCCTCAGCTTACAACCCCAATTGAGCCCAAAATTTATGTTGTTGTGAGAAATTTGTAAGACATGCCCCATTTTATGACTTTTCTTGCCACATTTGTTAAGTGAATCACTGCAGTTGTTAAATTAGTAACCCAGATGTTAAGTGAATCTGGTTTCCCCATTGATGTTTGTCAAAAGGTTGCAAGCGATCGCATGACCCCTGGATACTGCAATGGTCATAAATGTGAATCAGTTGTCAAGCATCCAAAGGTAAATCATGTGACCATGGGGATGCTGCAGTGGTCAGAACTGTGAAAAATGGTCATAAGTAACTTTTTTCAGTGCCGTTGTAGCTTCAAAGAATCACTAAACGAACTGTTCTAAGTGAAGGACTACCTCCTTTGAGTCACACTCTGCTAGTGTATTAAGAAGCATGGTGGACTTGTAGTTCAGCATTATCTGGAAAACCCTAGTTCGGTGATTCTCAATCTTTTCTTCATCATGGATCCCCTTTAAATAACTTTTGGGGCCATGGACCATTGCTCCAGACCACCAAGACTTAATTCAATATTTAAATCATAATATTTCTTCAAACCTTAGCGGACCCTCTGTAACATCGTGAGGCCTCAGGGGTTTGTGGACCATAAGTTGAGAACCACTGCCCTAGTTTAAAGAATAGACATCTCTCAGAATCATGAGGGGACACACCCAGCCTTATAAGAAAGCAAGGGTATATTCTACCTATTTACCACAGATTTACTAGATTCCAAATCAACTGTACTAAGGCAGTTTAATCGTGCTGAATGAGTGTCACATGTATGGTATCCTACATGACCATTTTAGTACAAGATAAGATTATCCTCTTTTTAAAAACTGGCAGGCATATATCCCACTTTCAACAGTAACAAATACTGATTGATAAAATCAGAGAGCCAGTTTGGTTTCGTGGCTAAGGCTGGAAAGTGAGAGATCATGAGTTCAAGTCCTGCCTTGGCCATGAAAGTCAGGTGACTTTGGGCCAGTCAGTCTGTTAGCCCAACTAACCTCACAGGGTTGTTGTTGTGTGGAAAGTAGGAGGAGGAAGGTGGGATGGATATGCCTTGAGTTATTTGTAAATTAATAAAAGGCAGGATACAAATAAATTATGATTTTTTAAAAATGATTTCTTTAATATGGCTTTCATTAAAAAAACTATTCTCACCCAATCTTCCTCCTCACTTGGCATGAAACGATCATAACTTAATATAAACTTGTTTCTGAGAGCAGGATACACATTTATGGTTAAAGATGGGAAATGATACTTTGGGTATAGAAATAAATTGGATGGAAGACAACAATGGTTTAATCATCACAGAGTAGGTCATGGTATCAGGTTATTTTCATTCAAATCACATCTCCTAAGTTTCAAAAAGAATTCCATAAGATCAATCAAAATAGGATAGCCCTTGTCCATAGGTTTACAAACACATCACACAAAATAAAGAATTGGTAAGGAACAGAAAACAAGCCAACCTGAGTATTTCCTCAGTTTAAGGAAGAACTTTTTAAAATGGCCAACCATAGCAGAAAATTAAGGAAGAATAGAATGATAATGGAATTGATCTTTAGCATGGGACATTGAGTGGTCCTGAATCTCTTTCTGATATTATTATTATTAGAGTGTTCTTTACTACATTACAATATTAAAACTTTTGAAGATTTTTGAGCTTCTACACGAGTTGAATTTTGTGCATTTAGAAAACAACAGTTCAACCTTTTTCCAACTTGTAAATATAAAGCAATTTTGAGTGTTCATATTTGTTTAAAGGGTATGAAATTAATCCCAAGATCTCTGGATAGTTACCAATCTGTAATTTTAATGAGAGGTGAAAATGATGAATAAGGACAGGAGAACAATCAGACTAATTATAATTCATTTTAATCAAACTTAAATGCAAATGATGACAAATTTGATTTTTGTTGTGGCCTCTTCCACCGCTTCTTGGAATGCAGCCTTTGTTTGTATACCACATCACTCAAAGACCACATAGGGCCCTCAATCAAGAAAAAGTTGCATGCCTCTCTTTTCGACAAAAGTGCCCAACTGAACAACCTGGACAACTCCACATTGTCAGTCTAATGTAAACAAGACATTTCATTAATTATTTGCACTGAAATTCACATTAGAAATGAAAACTAGAATGAGTCATTCATTGTTCTTTTAAATATCTTGCTGCCTTTATCAGAAATTCTTTATGCGGTCACATTCTTCCACTCATCTGACATAACGTGAACTTATCTGAAGCTTTTGTTATTTTTGAATATCTACAAAAAAAAAAATCTTGTCTGAGCATTCTTTTTCATAATATGAAGAGACTTTAAAATGGTGCTTCAACCAATACACGAAAACTAATTTTTAGAATATTTTAATTGATAGTTCCAAGAATAAGTCTAGCTAGTTAACAATAGCCATTTCCCTATAAACTGTTACAGAAAAAGTTTGTCTTAATAATTGTTTATTCTAATTATTTCCATGGAAATATATATATACATTACATACAGATCAAGTTTAACTTGAAAATTTAAAAACTGAGGTCTGTTTTTAAGAAAAGAAACATTTCATCAATGGCTAATAATATCTGTAGAAAGAAATAAAAAGTTAAGGAAGTCATCACTTTTTCTTTTGCAACCACAGTATGTTGTGGTGCTTTGTTTTTATATGGCAAAAATAAATGAATACATTTGTTTACAAGGGTAACGTTGCATAATGACATAAGAGAAAGAGAACTAAACTGATAGCAACTTACATAAAGCTCATTAAAAACAATCTTATAAAAATACCACACTGAAGGGAGAGGGAGGACACTACTGTTATTCAGTATACAAACATACCGTAAATGCTTCCATAAAATAAGACACCGCTTCAGAGTATAAAACATCTCATGAAACTCCTTTTAGCAACAGATTTTTATATCAAATGTGACTGTTTGACAAATCTGCTTAAATAACTACAAATATATATATATATACTGTATTTAAAAATATATCTTAGTTCAGCACCCTGTCTTTCGTTTCTGAGTTTGAGCAAAAATATATATTTTAAAGGAGGAACAAAAGAATGTTTTTACCTAGAATGTTTTAATAAAATCATTTGAGATATATTTTAAAGTATTGTTTGCCTTCTGAAAGATTTGCCTAAATGTGTTTTCTTTAACCATGGGTGTAATCTTGGTAGAAGAGCATATGGACACATGTATGAGGCTGATTACCAACTGAACTGAAGGATTTTCAAGTTTAGGAGGATATAAAAATCAATATCAAACAAAAAGGCACTGTTCTAAAACAACAGTATATTAAAAGAGCCAATGGCGATAATCGTGTAAGCTGAAATGATTTAAAATGTAAACATTAAACATGATTACACTTCCTTCTCTGTTAAGTGTTTCTTGACAACAGTAGTTCTTGGATTCTTTATATTTGGCCATTCCAATGACAAAGTGGGAAGAAGACTAGAAGCAACAGAGGAAATAGATTATGAGGTATTGTGAGAAATTTGGAAATTTTGCCTTGGCTCTTCTGATTTTGACATGTTAATAGGAGCAAACATTTCCTCATTTTCAAGCTGTTAAAAATCGAAGCTGATTTTTCTCAATAAGCATATTTCCATTAGATATAAATCCAGAAGTGTGAGTAACACAACTCTGACTGATCGTCCAAAGAATCCAGAACTGGTTTACTAAACACAGAGCTGCACCATGGGCACACTTACCTGGGAATGAGACATACTGAAGTGGGATTTATTTTCAAGTTAACATTGTCCTTTTAGGTCTACACAGCTGTTTAAAGTCCAAGGAGATATCATGTATTTTCAGAAATAGTGTCAATGTTTCTTTGTCATCCAGACTGCTTTGGATCAATGTGATCAATTAGTAATGAATTTTAGTAAACAAAGTAACAATTTGGTTAACTATTATAACCAATCTTTTTCATTTTGCTATAAGGTAAGAGAAGTACTCATTTATAGTAGAGCGTACCATAGGTTGCCATTTAAGGTTAGGAATCTTTCCATAGCTTAAGGAATAAGCTGTTCCAAACATCTCTGGGTATGAAAATTTTATTGATGGACTCTAAAAGTAGCACTTCTAAAATAAACCCTATAATGAAAGGGATGGCCAATTGACATGATACAATAGCCAAACAGATGAAAGTTCTGATTATTCCAGCTCTATAGAAAACATATCCCAATTTCTATACAGTTGAAATATTAGTAGCAGGGTTATTTTTCTTCGTCTCTTCCAGTTTTAATTTCCAGAAACGCAAGAATGCTCAGAGTTCTAAATATAATTTAATCTGAAGTTGTTCCTGATTATGTCTATCAGTGCATTATCTCATCTTGCAACTATTTCCCTTGCCTGCTTTATTTACATGAAGAGGGTCCACAGTTATAAGGCCAACTGGACCATGCCATCTGACCTGTTTAGTACTACCCAATTAATGCCCACACAAATGAATCTGGAATTATAAACCAGGAAGTTTATGCATAAAGGATGTCAAAATTCTCTATGTATAATGTATAACTCAGAAGTTAGATCAGGGGTGTCAAATTCGTGTCATCACGTGTTGTATCAGGACTTTTTTCCCCTTTGCTAAACCGGGCGTGACCAGCACGTGACGCATCTGGCCTGTGGGCCGCAAGTTTGACAGCCCTGGGTTACATTATGGGTATGAGAGGAGAGGGAATATTACAAACGTGAAGAGTAAGGCCCATGGTGTGTTCCCATCCCCACTCCTTCCACCCTGGGAATTTTGTCATATGTTTAAGGTATTCAAGAAATGCTTTCCTTGGTTGCTGACAGCAATGTCTTTTAGACATGAAATAAATGTAGCGTGCTATAAAATTAGGTCACATGAACCAACAAATCTGCTTCTGACCATGACCTATTCTGCCCTAATGCAACTTTTTAAAATTTAAAGGATTTAAATTAAGAAATTATTCCAGCATAAGTAGTTATTTTGATTATGTAAAGGAATGACAAGATGTTTTTAGAAAAGTGCACATATAACAGAACTGACACAAGTTTTAATATATGTACATTAGTCAAATGTATTTAAAAGATTAAGATAAATACTCCTGAGTATTTATTTTTTCAGCTTTTCTTAAAAGGGAACATTATTTCAGGATATTGCAAGAGAAACATAGCTGGCCATGCAACCTCATAATATAGTTTGTCTTGACAGGAGAAGAAAAAGGAAAAATAAATCATTTTCATAATTCAAGCAAGATAACATATCAATTTGTAAGCATGTGGAGAGAAAATGTGGAAATTTTTATTTTCCCAGTTTAGTCAAAAAAAATTTTTTTGAAAATCAAAAAAATTTCTTCGTCAAAAGAATTGTATACTATGTACGGGTCCAATTTATAAATTAAAAAATATATTTAACTAAATTTCAAATGTATCTTCTAATCGAATGTTGATTCAACACAGTTCGCAGTAGGAGTTCGATATTTTTTTTTTTTAATTTGATTTATATGCCGCCCTTCTCCGGAGACTCAGGGCGGCTTACAATGCGTTAAGCAATAGCCTTCATTCTTTTGTATATTTTATACAAAGTCAGCTTATTGCCCCCACAAACTGGGTCCTCATTTCACCTACCTTAGAAAGGATGGAAGGCTGAGTCAACCTTGAGCCTTGGAGAGATTCGAACCAGCAGAAATTGCAGGCAGCTGTGTTAATAACAGGGTGCACTAAACCCCTGTACTATCAAGGCTCTTTCAAAGGGAATTCATATTTCCATGATATGCTTACAAATGACTGCAGGATCAGTTATTCTTTCGTGGGGCTAAAGTCATGACATTGAATATGAATAATCATGTACATCCCATTGAAATAATAATCAAAGACAAATCTCATGTGTTTTTAAGTAACTGGAATTCAGTTTAATTCCTTTTGACTTTAGAAGAATTTAAAGCACTAATACCTCTAGACTGTAACAAGTGTTACTTAAGTGTCTTAGTCTAAATGAATTTACACTACATACTTCTGACATTCAAGTAAACTCAAAAAGGACTATAAAATAGATCTGAGAACAAAATATGTTATAGCATCATTCCGAAACACTGCAAAACTGGTGGAAGAATTAAAAACCTTGCAGCAAGAAACAAAAACGTTAGAAGTCACCGAAACTTTCTTCACCCCCATTCACTCCCCTCCACCCAGTTCTGTTTAAAGTGCATGAATGTGTTTTTTCCCCCTTAATGTCACTGCAACTCTTGCAAATAATTAACTAAATGCAAATATTTTGGCTCATCTATGCAGCAACATTGTTTGGAAAAAAAAAAGCCTATTAAGTATTCATCTAAATGTACCATAAAATAGCAGCATTAACAACATCTACAATGAAATGAAATGGTTAGCAGTGCTTAAGATCACCTGACCTACATCCAAAATGAGTTTTCCTTTCTACCACAGAACCGGGGAGGCAGTGGCATTCAATCCATAAAGAGTTACATATACATGGAGGCAGTGGTGAAATCCAAATTTTTTTTACTACCAGTTCTGTGGGCGTGGCAGGGGAAGGATACTGCAAAATCACCATTCCCTCCCCACTCCTGGGGGAAGGATATTGAAAAATCTCCATTCCCACCCCACTCTGGGGCCAGCCAGAGGTGGTATTTGCCAGTTCTCCAAACTGCTCAAAATTTCCGCTAACGGTTCTCCAGAACCTGTCAGAATCTGCTGGATTTCACCCCTGCATGGAGGGAATAACTGTGCAAACGATTCAGGGATTCTTTGAAGCTTACATTTTGCAACCCTGTCTGTGGAAGAGAAAAATGGCCTTTCAACTGGTCTTTTAGCAGCAAAAGCCATTGCAATAGAAAGCTTTGCCCTATACACACAATTCTTCCCCCATGTATACAGAACATCTTTAGTAGGTGGTCAACAACATACTATGGTTATATTCTGGTAGAAAAGCTCAACCAATATCTCCTTCTCAAAGCTGAATGTGAATTCTAAAAATGGTAAATCTTACAGCTAAAGAAGCCATAAAAAAAAAAACCCCACTAAAACAGGCATATATCAGAAAAGAGCAAATGTCCATTTGCTGCGAGGCTTACACTACTGTCCGGTGCTCCCCGCATACATAAACAGCACTAGGTCGGATACGTCTTCTAGCTTGACCAGGTAGCTGTGGCAAAAACTTGAAGTACTTGGGCACTAAGTCTAAACACGCATCGTGAAATTTCTTGATTCTCCAGTAGTAGATGAGTGGGTTCAGGGCAGACTTGAGGTAGCAGAGCCAAAGGAGCCAGGTGCTTATCTCAAAAAAATTGTGCTTGTGATAAAAGTGGTTGTTAAATGTGGCAATAAGGCTGTAGGTGGTGAAGGGGGCCCAGCAAATGATGAAGACAATGAACAAAATCAATATGGTGGTGAAGGCACGAGTTTTAAAGCTCATATCAATATTCATTTGAAAGGGTCTCTGGAGGCTCATGAGACCAAGTTTGCTAGCTTGACTGAGGCATATGCTATCTGGGTGACTATGGATACGAACCGCATTGTGCCGTACGGTATTGAGGATGCCCATAAAAGAATATAACATTACGAGGAATGGAATGAAAAATGAGACCAAAACCACCACTACTACATAGGCGCGGTAACCCGGGTTTGTTGTGTAGCCAAAAACACACTGAGGTGCTTTGGAAGGTATCTGTAGGCTGGGGTTCCCCACAGAGAGTGGAAAAGCCACAACAAAGGCCACAAGCCACGAAGCAGCGATGAGGACTTTTGCTCGGTAAGGGTTCAGCTTGTCCTGCCTTTGAACTATTATGAGGAATCTATCAATGCTGATGATGAGTAGTATGGCAACTCCTTCGATGACAAACAGCCAGAAGAACATGGCAGAGACTCTGCAGAAGACATCACCAAAAATCCACTGGGTAGTGATGATAGTTATCAGAGCAAAAGGCATGTTCAACACAGCGAGCAGCATGTCTGCAAAAGCCAAACTAGCTAGAAGAATGTTAATGGCAGATCGCATCGCAGTCTTCTGATAAACCATAAGGCAGACGACCAGATTACCGACAAAAGAAATAAGGAAAATAAATATCATGGCAGCAGAAAGGACGATCTGGAGTGGTAGACTCAAGCTTGTGAAGCTTTGTAACAGGAGGGCAGGTGTACTATTGATTGTCAAAGGAGCTATCTCAGTAGTAACCATGGCACCCAAATGGTATTTCAGTAGCTGAGCTGTGCCCTTATGGACCAAGATCAACGGAGTGGTAATATTGGCATGGGCATGTTCATAGACAATAAAAGTTGCATTTAATGACACAGGATGAGCTGGTGTCAGCGTTGCGGGAAAAACCATCACTTCAGCAGAGAGAGAATGTGAATTCAAGGCATTTTAATAAATAAGATGATGTCATGATTCAGGGCCCTTGGCGAAATTATAGTGACATATCCAGAAGAAGGAAGGTTGACTTGTACCCTTCATGGCAGTGCTTTGGTCTGAAAAATCAAATAGGAATTAGAATGTTAAAACAAAGTATCATATTACTGAATGCATCAATACTGCTGCGGACAAAAACTGTGCTCTTCAACATTTCCTGCATTATCCAGCGCTATCAAGTATTTAAATCAGATGTACAGGTACAGGTAAACCAGCTAATCAAAAATAGAAACTAATGATGTAACTAACCCTTATTCATCCAAAGGTTTCTTTAGAATCAATAATGGAACGCAAGCAGCAATAGAGTTTTGTATGAGAATATTGGACTAATAAGAGCAAGACCAGTGGTGAAATCCAAATTTTTTTACTACTGGTTCTGTGGGCGTGGCTTGGTGGGCATGGTGTGGCTTGGTGGGCATGGCAGGGGAAGGATACTGCAAAAACCCCATTCCCTCCCCACTCCTGGGGGAAGGATATTGCAAAATCTCCATTCTCACCCCACTCTGGGGCCAGCCAAAGGTGGTATTTGCCAGTTCTCCGAACTGCTCAAAATTTCCGCTCCCGGTTCTCCAGAACCTGTCAGAACCTGCTGGATTTCACCCCTGAGCAAGACTCGAATACTTCAATGGAATATAACTCAAGAATATAACAAGTTCAATATTCCTGTGAAATGAATTAAGTACAGGTAGTCCTCGATTTATGACCACAATCAAGACCAACATTTCCGTTGCTAAGTGAGACATTTGTTAAGTGAGTTTTGCCCCATTTTACTACTTTTCTTGCCAGTTGTTAAATGAATCCATGCGTCTGTTAAGTTAGTAACGCGTTTGTTAAGTGAATCTGGCTTCCCCAATGACTTTGCTTGTCAGAAGGTCGTCAAAGGGGCTCATATGATCCCGTCTGAATTTTGATCACATGACCACAGGGATGCTACAACTTAAGTGTGAAAAACGGTCGTAAGTCACTTTCTCTAGTCTTGTTGTAACTTTGAGTAGTCACCAAATGAAATGTGGTAAGGTGAGGACTACCTGTGTATAATTTTAAAGAACAACTGGATTGCAGCAGCTTGCCACCGCATTTTTCTCAAAATGTCTCTAGGCGTGAGAAACCAATGACCATCAATCATAGTCTTACTACTAAACTTTTAATTAAAAAGAAATCCTTTTCCTATCCCTCTCGGTCAGCCTGTGAGAAGCAACTATGGCTGAATCTGGGCAGTGCACTCAGAGGGCTGAGGAAAAAGGTGGTGAAGAGAAGGGCATTTATTGAAAGGTAACAGCATATGCATATATGGGTGTTGCATTTCTTCAATGGATCTGTATGTAAATATGTGTTGTTGTTGTTATTGTTGTTGTTTGGGGGGGAGGGAAAGATGAATTTAGGCTGTGATCCAGAAAGAGGCAGGCCCATGTGATGAGGATGGGTCTAAAAAGAATGTAATATTGTGCATACTGTGAACTCAAACTTATTCCTATTGATTTATTTTCTTTATTTCTGACCATTCCCAGTCCATTGTACTCATGTAGCTCTCGTAACATATGCTTTTTTGTGTATCTTAACCTGCCTTAATCTGATCAGGTACAAAGTTCACAAAATCAGTTTATTTATTTAAAACATTTAGATAGCTGCCCATCTTACTCTATGCAGCTTCCAGTTATACTGCTACAGTCAAACCTCTTTTTCATGAACGTGTCTAAGAGGACAATTACATGTCTGCCTGCCTGTCTTAGGGCAATAGAGCTTACATTAGGGACATAACTGTGCTAGATGTATTTGAACAGACTCTTTTCAGAAAAAAGCATCATTAGACAAAAAATAGAGAAGATCAGATCTAAACTTCATTTGTTTGCTTATAGAGCAGGGATGTCAAATTTGATTTTATTCAGGGCCACATCAAGGTTGTGTTTGACCTCAGGGGTCTATGGAGGCATCGCCAGGATGGGTGTGGCCAGGTCAAGGTCACTTATTGAGGCTCCGTTTTTGGCCGCGATGGCCTCCTGCAACTCTCTGCCAGCAAAAACAGAATTCAGGGAGGCTGCGTGCAGCCCTCCCGGGCTTTGTTATTGACCGCAACGGCTTCCTGCAACCCTGCAACCCTCTGCCAGTGAAAACGGAGCTCAGGGAGGCAGCACGAGGCACAGGTTCTAACAGGTTCTGTTATCGGCCGCAATGGCCTCCTGCAACCCTCTGCCAGCAAAAAGGGAGCTCGGGGAGGACGCACATGGAGCTCAGCTCCATTTTCGCTGGCAGAGGCATCGTGGGCTGGTTCTTCACTGTTTCCAGGGTGGGCCAGCAGGCCAGATCTGACCTGCGGGCCTTGAATTTGACACCCCTGAACTAGAGGATGTAGTGGAAGAAAATACTTCTGCTTTCATGAGAACAAGCATATGGGTCATACACACAATATGTCCATACAGTCTTAGTGAATAAGGAATTATATGATACAGTACCCATAATTCTTAGAGCATCAGTGCAGGAAACCACATGATACACTTGACTTTCCAAATGCATATAAACAAATCATCAGAACAGGTTACAGATGGTGCTGGATTGAAGTTCACCTGGATGAGAGAGGAAGAATCTCTTGGACTGCAGGAAGCTTGGGAGGGTAGGATAAGAATAGTGAAGAAACAAAGCAGTTGTTGAGGATCAAGATTATGAGAAAACTTTTATATATTATATTATAAATTATTTCAGATAATCAAGTTGTGAGGTGATTGTCAACACTGGTCCCCTTTTAGCTTCATCTGTCTACTGTTCCCAGCTTTTTAGAAGTGGACTCACATGTTAAAAACTATTCAAGACCCATCCAGAAAAGAAATCAGTTAATACAACAGAATTTTGGTAGTATTCTCAAGGTTATCTAATATAAATAATACTAAAATAAAAGTAGACTTTCATTACCAAGGCTATTGATTTTTATGCACATGTATACATTCTGCTGATACACATATGTGTCTTATACTACAGTAAGCCACACAGAAAGTACACAGGATTCTCAAATAAAAACTACATAAATTATTATGAATATGTTTGGGGAAAAGATACTCACTCCACATGTTTATTAAGGAATAATAATGCTTGTTTTTTTCTTACAATCAAGTATACTTACATTTACAAATATAATGGAATATAAAGTAATAGAAGAGCACTCATATATATATATATATATAAATAATCATATACTAAGTAATTATCTTGATTAGTCAATATTATTTCATTCACAATTTGAATAATTTTATCTTTCATTTTCATATGGAACTATTACGTTCAAGTACAGTGATGTTAAGAAATATGTAGAACTATTATTGATCACTCCGATCAAAGGCTATCCATTTGATTATATAAAGAATATTTTTCATGCCATATTCTTTTACAATTAAAAATTTATTTTATAAAATCCATTGCAGTTAAAATCAATCTACTGTAAGTATTCTGTTTCTCCTCATATACATTTTTTCTCAGTTCTCAGTTTTACAGCTTACTTTATTTGAATATTAATGCTAATATAACATGAGCTCAAGTTAATAATTACCAGCATATATGACCCAGCAAAGAAACATTTTGAAATTTGACTGAGATGAAGGAAATTGTTTTAGATGCATTTCAGCCAAGGTTTACTTTAGACCAGGGGTGTCAAATTCGCGGCCCACAGGACGGATGTGTCATGCACTGGCCATGCTCAGCCCCAGTTTAGCGAAGGGAGGGAAAGTTGCGATACATCATGTGACGACGTGTCATCACAAGTTTGACACCCCTGCTTTAGACCAAGAAAAAATACATAGTACCACAGTTTTCATTACATTTTCATTTGATTCGTGGTGGAATAAATCAGCATAGAAATTTCTGGCAAGAAGCCCACAAAAGGCATAGTATGAAATAATTCCAGAAGCAGTGACATAAGTACATAGTAATAGCAATTTTCCAAGAGGTCTATTGTAAAAGAGTAACGAACAATTCAGGTAAAGAATGGCAAGTACAAAAATAAAGTCCATATATTCATATGCTTTAATTCTAAAATATGAGCTAGGACAGTGATGATGAATATACATGTCAGAGGACACACCAAAAGTGCCAACAACCAACAATTATTATCAAAAGCATGCCCTTTCTTATGCTATTTTTGGAGGCCATGCGAAAATGGGGTGTGCTCTTGTGTAGCCTCCAGAGCCTTTAGAAATCATGTGGAGAATGGGGCATGCCTCCAAGCGGAAATTCCCTGTACATAAAGGATAAACATTATAGTTTCTATTACTGACTTTTTATTTAGAGATCTTGCCTAGACCTTAAAAAACATAAATCTATTTTATTATATTGTTGGTAGTTTTTTTCTGTCTAAAACTTAAGTTTTTCCAAGTTACCAAACTGGCAAATCCATTAAGTCCTGAGTTTCTTAGAAAAAATAAGAATGATTTACCTACTAAACATGAGGATTGTGTAAGAATTCTGACATTAGATTTTGATAATAAAGGGAGGAGTCAGAAAATGTGAATAAATTTGCAAATGGCACCAAAATGGGGGAACAGCAATCAGCAAGAAGGGTCTCACAGTTCTGGTGGATTTTGACAAGCTGGTATAATTAACAGAAATAAGGAAGATTAATTTTAATAGCAGCAAATGTGAAGTTCTAAGAAAATCAATGCTGGAGGGGAATGGATACTATGCTAGATAGTAATGTGTACAAAGGTGTCTAGGTGTCTTGATGGATCATGAGCTAAATATGAGCTTGTAATAGGAAGTAACTCCAAGAAAAACAAGTAAATGCAATTCTAGGTTGTATCAACACAAGTACACTATTAAGATCAAGAGAAGTCATTGTTCCTCTGTATTCTGTATTGATAAGACAAGACCTAGAATATTGTATCCATATTTGAGCACTGCATAAAGGACATTAGAACAGGTCAGGAAGAAAAAAAAAAATGAAAATTTGGAGGCGCCGAGTATGTTGAGCCCGAAGAAGAAAGCATAACATTTGGGTTAGGTATCTTAATAGCCATCTCATAAAAGATCAGACAGGACTATTTAGAGTTGTTCCAGAAGACAGGACCAAAAAAAAAAAAAAAGAGTTTAAATTACGAAGAAAGTTAATTTGGGTTGGACATCAAGACCTTGTACAACTTGTAGAACAGGTTGCCTTGGAAATGGTGAACTCTTCTTGGCTGGGCATGTTTAAACTGAGACTGGATGTTCATTCATCAGGATTGATATAATAGTGGATTTTGCCATTCCTTCATCTCTCTTACATGCTATCATTCTGAATTTTGCATAATTATACAATTATAAAAATTAAAAAATGCTTACAAACTCAGCTATTTTTCCAGTTTTGATTTATCCCTCTAGATGGGTTCAAAATACTAGTTCAAAACAGCCTGATATTCTGTGGACATTCTTCTGACACTTCTTTTCCAAGTCAGTTTCCTTAGCAACACTTTAATCCATCTGGCTGCCGGCTTTTAAATTTTACTACCACCTTCCTATCTATATTAGAAGTCAACTAAAAATAATATATACTAAAATAATTAGTTGTGCTAATAAAATAAATAGGGAGATTAGTTATTCATAGTCTGAGAGTTCACTGCGAGTCTGACAAATGCTTTAGGATGATTTGAAATGTTGCACATCTATCCCTGCCAAACACATAACAGTATAAGCTACACATTGTAATCAACAAAAGTGAATTCCTTGTTCTTTATGAAATAAAAGCTTAGAGGAATATGACTTTACAGAGCAAAACTGATTCTGAATCTGCAAACCTGCATCAGCAGACTATGATGTGACAGCTTTCTAAGCATAAAAAGATCATTTTCAAAGTCAGGTCCACATAAATTACTATAGCTAGAATAGAAATAACTATTCAGCTCACTGCAAAGGGTTGTCTTTCAACAACTACCTCTTCACAGCTTTTTAAAAGAAAAACCTCTCAGTTTCAAAAGCACTCGCTGAGCCGCTCTTTACAATAGTTCCTATTTTACAGTTCTCTGGTTCCTGGTTTATAGAGTTCTTCTATGAACTTCATCCCATTTTTATTGCCCATTTATCTGCTTCAACTTCTTTGTCACATTCCTTCTTTATGTTGTCTCTAAATCTGTTCTGCATGTTCAAAGCAGATGCTGTTGCATACCAAAATATTGTCTAGCCAACCTTAAATCCAGATCCTGAATCAATTTCATTAACGGCTTTCGGGGGTCTTCTTAGTTAATTTTTAACTTTTCCTTTCTCTAGTTCACCTATATGTTTGATTTAAATTTGTCCCATCCAACTAAGGTTTTAATTTTTTTACCAGCAGAAATTTCAGCATTTAAAATCATAGTCAGGGAAAAGAAACAATCAAGTATCTTCATCTTTTCATTTTCTGGTATGACAGCTATGCGCCAAAGCTATTAGATTATTTTATAGTGTCCATCACTTGCATTTACTCACTGACTCTTCACATTTTCCTATCAGTAATATACTTTCTGAATTTAGGGTTGAATTTGAGTTTGATAAATTCTCATTTTAAAATATATGACATTCATATGCATGGAACTTAAGAGTAATGCATCCATAATATTGTACATGTTAGAATACTAAATAATCACATATCAAAACAGCCTTCTTAGCTATTGTACCCTCTAACATTATTGAATATTAATTGAAACATTAATAGTTAAAAACATCTACATTACTTTTGAATGGAAGTCAGAAAATTAAGAGGGGAATCATACACTGTCTGACTTTTTAGTGGTATACAAGGAAATTTTTCATTCTGTGAAACTATTTTTACCTTTTACTGTACAGTCTGCTAGACTGTCTTTACCAATTCTTTCTTTATTTTCTATTATGTTAATGTTATTGCACAAGGAATATATGCTCTGAAAAAGGCAATTTCTATTCTATGTACTTTTGGTTATACAAACGAAATATGTCAATATAAAAATATTTTCATTAGAAATGAGAGATTCTAAGCACTTAACCTGAAATTAATGCACTTGCACCCTTGTCTGAGTATCCTTCTCTTAATCATTTATATAGTTTGTTCTTAAAGTTACAAATTACAACAAATAATAATGTAAGCAAATGGTGAATATTTTGAGTAGTAGCCAAAGATTTTGCTCTATGAAAGGGCTCCTTCTGTAAATATGTAACTTTCCTTTTAGAATGGAATAAAAAGATGCTGTATAAATTATAGCATATCCCCCAAGTTTTGCAATGTTAAATAAGACAGGGAAACAAACAAACAAACAAACAAACAGTGAAAGTGTGTGAGAAAAAAATAAGAAAATGCCATAAATGCTTTGATGAGGAACTAAATATTGGGAAACAAAACTTTGAACCTTCAAATTTAGGTTACATTCATTTATAACATATAAATTGTAATGTAATGCTTTGAGGTGTTTTTGCATGTATGAAATTTTAAAAGCAAGCTGCTTTACAGACTGGAAATAACTTCAACTCTTCTGCAGCTTAAACAAGTTGCTATAGGTTAAGTATAGATCTTAAATATCTCTTTTTAAAAAAAGAAAGACTACTATCACTATCATAGAATGACTGATGGCATTATACTATACCAGGCTTTTCTGATTTGGTGTCCTCCAGATGTATTGTGACTACAAATGTAAC